TGTCTCTCTCTGTCCCAAAAATAAAAAAATAAACGTTGAAAAAAAAAATGGCCCCTAGCCTCAGTAATTTATTTACAAAACAAGCATTTATATCTTGTTTACGTTTTATGTCACTTATGTTACAACTTATATATTTTTTATTCTGTGATCTAGGTTGATCAAAAAGGAGTAGCTCCTTTTTGGAGTTTGTCATTCCTGTGGCAGAAGGAATAGTAAGGGAGATGGTAGAAACATGGAGTATTGTCCAGAAGTTCATCTTGGAAGTTACATACTATTATTTCCACCATGTTTTCTTAACCCAAGCAACCCATGACCAAATTTGAAAATACAGAAGCATACTCCACTCCAGGAAGGCACTGTAAGCCATGTTGATTTGGGTAGAAATATATTATCTTCTTACAGGGCAGGGAGCACCTTATTGTAAACAGTAGTAAAATCAATGACAACATCTATGCTATTGTTGTCTATCCCCCAATTTTATTAGCTTTTTTTAAAAATCACATACATTATTTTGCTTTTTTCCTCTACATACATGAAAACTGGTCAATTGTATCCTTTACTTTACTGATCCAGAGTTCTATGGCACTAATTTTCCTTTTACCATCATTAACAGGGGTCCGGTTGTTTTAATTTCCTTGTAAACTATCTTCTCATTTACTTCAATTACTAAGTTTCTTCTTCATCATATTCTATTCTTCTTTTACAGAGGCCATATACTCTTAAAATCTGCTTTAGATAAAAATAGTCACAAAAATTTTTTTCTCTTTCCTTTGTATTTACTCATTGTTAAACAGGGTGAGATTTGTCCATACTCAATAATTGCCAACACACAGAATATATACTCTTTCTTCTTCTTGTTTTAACCTCTGGGTTATGTGCCAAAACCTCTTCATAAATCAGTTGGAGAGGACATTGACATAAACATTTTAATACTAAATTTCTGTGATGTATTCACCTGTTTTGTAGTTATTTTTGCTTCTTGTCTTCTCTTAATGGCCATCTACTCTTTGGGCTCCTAAGATTTAGGGTTCTCATGAATCATATTCCTTTTTCCACCTATAGAATACTGCTTTGGGGGACGACAGCTGTCAGATTACACATTGCCATTTAAAGTTCTCATTGATTATTGTTGATCATTTATTCTGTAAATATGAAGTGTCCCCTTGGTTTCAAGAAGATAGTTATGGGAGGAGTAAAAGAAAAGAGGAAAGATTGGTGATATTTATAGGGCAAGAAGATCAGCATTTCTTCTCAGAGTAGTTTCTTATGAGTGGGAGGAAGCCCCAGAACCTCCACACACGATTGTGCCCTGCATAAGGATGGCCAGTGATGAACATTGGCAGGAGCTAAAATTCATCCCTCTCCATCAACCAAGCCATATGCTCTTCATCAGCCTGAAGAAAGGGTGCCTTTTGGCTGCTTGCACAACAATGTTACATGTGCTAACAGCAGCCCAGGTTTGTTTTTTTTTTGTTTTGTTTTGTTTTCTGTTTATGCACTTAATACAAATAGGGTCCTAAATATATAGTCTTTTGTGTCTGGCTTCTTTCAATATTATTTTTTTAATCTTCATTCATATTGTATGTAGTTTTGGTTTATTCTTTCTCAGTGCCAAGTGGTATTTATGCAATTTATTCTATTATTATTGTTAATTTGAATAGTTTTCAGTTTGGAACATATAAATATTTTTGCTGTGACAATTAGAGTAGATGTTTCAAGGGGATATATTTGCTTATTGTTAAATATATTCTTAGGGGTACAATTGCTATATTATTATGTATGTGTTATATTGTTATATAGTCTTATGTATATATAGTTTTAGTAGTATGAGCATCTAATTTTCTAAATTGTTGGGGCACCTGGATAACTCAGTTGGTTAAATGTCAAGCTCTTGATTTTAGCTCAGGTCATGATCTGAGGGTTCTGTTGGTGAGATCCAGCCTCGGGTCCAGCACTGCATTGACAGTGCTTGAGATTCTCCCTTTCTGTTTTCCTCTGCCCCTCCCCACCTCCAGCTCACTTGTGCGCATGTGCTTACTTGCTTTCTCAAAAATGAATAATTAAACTTAAAAAATAAGTGTTTTATTAGCTGATACTCCCACCATCTGTGCATTGGGGTTCTGGTTATTTCGTATTTTTGTCATTGCCTAATACTTCTATGTTCTTCTTTTTTCCTTCTGATGGGTATGCAGTGGGTTTTTATTAGGATTTAATTATCAAATCCCTAATACTTATCATATGTATTAACATGTTGAGCACCTTTTAACATATATATTAAACTTTTGGATATGCTCTTTTATTAAGTGTTAATGTCTGCCCATTTTTCTATTGAATTATCTTGTTTTCTTATTGGTAGGGGTTCTTAATACAGGCTTTTGTTGAATATTTGTTTTATGAAAATGTTTCGTGATTTGCAGATTTTTTATCACTCTCTGAAAGGTGGTTTTTGATAACAAAAATTCTTAATTTTATTCTAATACAGCTGATTAAGTTTTTCTCTTGTGATTACTACCTTGGAGTCCTATTTAAAAAATCTTTGCATTACCAAGTTCACAAAGATTCTTTTTAATAAAAACTTTATTATTTTACCTTTCACTTTTAGATATGCATTTTGAACTGGCTATTTTTATATGGTAAGTGGCCAGACACATTTTTCTTACAGATGCCCAATTTGATCCTAGGTCCTCTATTGAAAAGTTCATCTTTTGCCCACTGTAATATAGTATCACCTTTCTCATAAGTTCTAGGCAAATTTTAAAGTTGAAAAGCATTTTTTAAGATGACATAATGTGTAATAAGTGCTCAGTATGAACCACATTTTAAATGGCTTTTCTTTTTCTGGAGTTAAAGTATTTTACAAACTTCTTACTTATTCTTATTCAACTTAGTAAGAAGCAGTCCTGATACTTCCTTGGGTGATCTGCTGATTTTTATTAAGCTTTCTTGCCATGTGCAAATGACAAACATTAAAAAAAAATGAAGTAAAAGATATTCTCCTGCTCATCACGACCTCTACTCACTACAGTGGTAATGCACTCATTAATAGACCTTTTATACAGTCAGAGAAATTTCTATCTCCAAGTAACCTTAGAAATGTACTGATTTTAATATAAGAAAATTCTAGTCCCAGAAAAATGAAGTGGCTTGTCACAGTACTGGTTAGAGAAGGAGACTGGAGTTTAAACCCAAAAAATTCTGGGGCACCTGAGTAGCTCAGGTGGTTAAGCATCCAACTCTTGATTTCTGCTCAGGTCATGATCTCAGGCTTCTGAATTCAAGCCCTGCCTCATGCTCTGTGCTGGCAGCATTGTTCTTGTTTGGTTCTCTCTCCCCCTCTCACTGCCTCTCCCCTGCTCCTGCTCTCTCTCTCTCCCTCTCTAAAAAAATAAACATACTCTAAAAACCCAGAAATCTTGGGTCTTTTCTAGAGACTCATATTTTTTTAAAAAACAAATAAAAGAAAAACCTGACTTACCTAATAATTTTTGAAAACCTCACAACTCAACAAAAACATAATTTCACTAGCTTCTTTGCTCTCCATATGATTGGAGATCACTGCGTCTCTGAATTTTGAGCTTAAGACAATGGAAGCCCTATTGCCAGGTTCCTGAGGATACTTGTTATGGGCTGAGTGTTGGTGTCCTCCCCCCCAAATTCACATGTTAAAATCCTAATCCCCAAAGATGATGGTATTAAGAGGTGTGGGACCTTTGGGAGGTTCTTAAGTCATGGGAGCAGAGCCCTCTTGAGTGCTATTAGAGAGGGGCAGTAGGGGGATGGATTAAACGGGTGATGGGGATTGAGGAGTTCACTTGCTGTGATGAACACCAGGTGTTGTTTGGAACTGTTGAATCACTATTGTGAACACCCGAAACTAATATTACACTATATGTTAGGTAACTGGAATTTACATTAAGGAAGGAAGGAAGGAAGGAAGGAAGGAAGGAAGGAAGGAAGGAAGGAAGGAGGGAGGGAGGGAGGGAAGGAAGGAAGGAAGGAAGGAAGGAAGGAAGGAAGGAAGGAAAGGAAGAAAGGAAGGAAAGTGCTGAAAGACCTTTGGCTGTGTGAGAACTGAGAGAAGGCACTGGCTGTGAACCAGAAAGAGAGCCTTTACCGAAACGTGACTATGCCAATGCATTGATCTCAGACTTCCAGCCTCCAGAACTGTGAGAAATAAGGTTTCGTTGTTTGTAAGTTATTCAGTCTGTGGAATCTTGTTACAGCAGCCTGAACAGAATAAGACAACACTTAACCTCTTGGTGAAAAATCAAGGAAGCAACAGAGAGTGGAAACGAGAGGCCCTGCCTGTGTGAATTCTTGCTGATATTTAGACTAATGACTCTAAGCTATCATTCACTGTGTAGACTTTGGAAAATTATAAAACAATTTGTGAAGAAAACCAAATTTCGTTCTTAATGTATCTGTATCTGTATATATGTGTGATAGGGTATTTCTAGTTTCTGTACGTTGTATAATCTTTCATGTATTTTTCTTGATCTTTTTAGTTGGACTTTATATAAATTTTTAAAAAAATACAAATTAAGTCTAATTGAGAGCCATTCCATATTTTTTTATCCAGAAGTCAATATATAATGTAGCCACACATTTCCTCTTTTTGAAAATTGAGTCATTTGCTTCTTTCTGGTTGTCCTGCATTTTTCTCTTCCTGCATAATTAAAATATTTATGGCAGTGACTCTGAGATCATATTTGTACATTTCTACGGCTCCCTAGTGTATAAATCTTCTGTTTCGAGACTTGGGTTAATTTAAAGTAACTAGGGAGTGTCTCAGACCATTTACATATTACCTCAAGCAGTAATATCTTTTTTATATTGTTCTAGATTTTTAGCTTGAAAGTTATTTTCTTTGCTACAAAAGATGGAATTCAAGGAATGTTTGAATATTCTTCCTTCTTTTATTTGTTATAATTTTCACTAAGCAGTATGTCCAGTTTTTCTTCTCATCTCTACAAGTAACTTTAGAAGAGTATAGATTTTTTTTTATTTTAAAATTGGTGTCGTAATGGACTCAAGAACACATGGATGTGAATCTTAATTCTGTTTTGTTTATTGGTTTGAGTGAGTTTCTTAGCTTTTAGAAGTTTTCTTCATCTGTAATTCTGAAAAAAAATACATATAACCATTTAAGGTTTGTTAAGCACTTAAGGAACATACAATGTAAATAGAAAACATTTAGCATAGTGTTTGGCATATAGTATATAAAACACATTGTTAATTTCATTAAGTCACAAATTCATTTTTTCTGTGTTTTCTTGGAGTCATCATCACAGAGTAATTGAGAGTGACTGTGTCTGAGTTGTGTCTCTGGGAAACAGACCATGAACTGGATTTAGGAATGCAGAAGTTTAATTAGGGAGGGAGGGGGTGTGCAGGAAGAGGCTTCAGAATGCAATCCAGATCTGTCTTCTGTGAAAAGAGAAGAAAGTCTTAAACTGATATAGAATTCTGTCACATTCTCATCTGGCCAAAGGAGCTTTGGAGCAAAATTACCCATAGAGCAGACTCACAATAGGTAGAAATGCCAGACTCCAGCATCTCTGTCATGCTCCTCATTGGCTGGGGAAAGCCTGGGAAGAGTGTAACATTGGTTCAAAAATTTAGATATTGTAATGAGGCACTGTCAGCCAACTGTGTTTCTTGCGGCCAAACAGCCAACTTTCTTGGAGGGAAATCGAAGCGATGCCTCTCAAGCTGCCCCATAGGTTTCTGGAACATGCTACCTGTGTTCATTCAAATATGTCCCCTTCACTTACTAAATGGGGGGTTGTAAGGTACTTAACCATTCTGCTTTTGGTTTCTTCATCTGTAAAAAGAAGAAAGTAATGGTAGCTATCATAACATTATTGTGAAGGTTAAATTAAATAACATATAGAGTATTTTAAATAGCATCTGAAGTGCTCAATAAATACTTGCCATTATTACTGTCATATTCTTACATATTCTGCTACTTTGATTTACTCTTGCCTACATACTCCCTTCTTGCATTTTATGTACATATTGTTTTTAAAAAACAGGTTTTGGGCACCTGGGGGGCTCAGCCGATTAAGCATCCGACTTCAGCTCAGGTCATGATCTCATGGTTCTGGGGTTCAAGCCCCTCATCAGGCTCTGTGCTGACAGCTCAGAGCCTGGAACCTGCTTCAGAGACCGTGTCCCCCTCTCTCTGCCCCACCCCTGCTTGTGCTCTGTCTCTCTCTGTCTTTCGAAAATGAATAAACATTTAAAAATAACATTTAAAAAAACCAGGTTTTGCTGTGAACTTAAAATTGCTCTTAAAATCATCTTAAAATAACTTTTCAGAGAGTCCCCTGAGTGAATATTCATTGTTTATATGTTTTTCCTTCTCTGATTTCTTCTTGTTCATTGTTATCAGTCCAGGTAATTGCACATATTAATATTTCATTTAATAATCCCATTTGGTATAGGTAAGAAGAGAGTCTACATGAGATTTTCATGTCAAAAGCTTGCAGAGTCGATGTACTAGTTCCACAGTATGAACAAAATAAGTTTCTTTGAGAGAAAATCATAAGCACTATGTGCTATATCCTTCCCAGATAAAAAGGAGCTATTTTATATCCATCAAAGTTGAAATAAGGTTTAGTTTAGTGGACCAGAAAAATATTACCTGTTTTGACACAAATACAATAGAACAATTCCAAAGAAATCCAATTTTGAACAGCATTGCACGCAAGGATTAGAAAGTTTCAGAAGATTTGGATTTTCTGAATGCTTTTTGTTGTTTGAGGTGCTCTCCTAAGATTAACTGAGCATATTATGTAAGGATGAACCAGCTTTATCGTTGTGCTTTTTCAATCTCTTCGAAAATGAAAAGTTAATCACAAGCCATCATATTCACAGATTCTCATCCATTCCAAGGATCTAAGGTTTTTTTTTTTAAGTTGTAGTATATTTTATTTCTTAAATCATTATAAAAAATGTCTAAGTTGTGAGATTTAAAACTATTCTGAAGTTTTTTATTTTTATTTTTATTTTTTTATGTAGTAGATACTAGTAAAGTGATATGCCAGTGTGAGCCCTGGATTGACAAGGGAGCCCCATAAAAAGCTTTGGTTCCCGATTAAATTGTCTTTTAAATAATAACACATAAAATCTCAACAAAGGTCTAAGGTTTTAGATGTATCATCCTCTTAAGAAGATATTCCTTGACAACTGTCCCAAGGCCACTACTAGTATTCTTACATAATGATATAAACTAAAAACTATAAACTATGGGTGCAGAAAAGAAATTGGATTATTTAGGCCAGCTTAAATGATCATGTCTTTTTTAATGATGTTTTTAAAAATCATGTAATAGTGATAGCATGACATATAGAGAAAGTAAGTAATGGATCTGAGTTCTCTTTTCATATTTTAATCACCACTTTTCAAACATTGCCTTAGCAATCATGTATTCACTGTAAATACTTATTGAGTAACTACTTTGTGGCTGGCCTACTTCTAGGTACAGTGATATAGAAGTGAACAATTGACCTAGGATTTATTCCCCAGCTTAAGATTCTCCATTATAATTAAGAATTCTTACATTGCCTGCAAGGCTAAATCAATACACAAGTCTTTACATCTATGAGCTTAAGTCATACAAGATCCCCTGAGTTTATTCCCCTGTAAACCCACACTGTTCTACTGCCCTTCTCTTTGTCTTTGAACATGTCAAACTTTTTCCTGCCTCAGGCCATTTGCACTAGTAGTTATTGATATCTGGTATGCCCTTCCTTAAGATCCTATGGTTTCTTCTCATTATTCAGATCTCTGTCAAAAGTGCAACTTCATAGGCCTAAATAAAATGGCTCTCAACCCCACTCTCTAATCACTATCCTTTAATACTGTTTTTTTTTAATCTAAAATAAGAATTATTGGAAGTTATCTTACTTATTTTTAAATATATGCTGATTTTCACAAATTGTTTATGCACTTTTTGATATTGTGACTCCATTTGACAGCCATTTCCCAATTTTTTGCCCTTTCTCCGAGAACCTACCCTGTGTTGTTCCTGGATGACTTTGCTCTTTGTTCTATTATAGCACTGAGTACTCTCTGTGTTATAGTGCTATTTGTACTTGACTGCCCCTAGCACTAATATGTGCTTCACGTCCATATATACAGCTCCTGCAGCAATGCAGTACACCGTGATTTCTGGGGAAAAGAAAAAACTTATTGAGCAAATTAATGAATTAATTTTTACATTTGTACAATATTTACCACTTAATTACTACATGCTGTTTCCACCGTTTCACATAAATAAGGGGAAAAGGGTGTAAGCTTAATATCTCTTCTTTATTAAATGTTGCAGTGTTACATTCTTTTATTTTTTTAAGTATTTACTTTTGAAAGAAGGAGAAAATGTGAGTGGGGGAGGGGGATAGAGAGAGAGAAAGAGAAAGAGAGAGAGGGAGAGAGAGGTGGGAGGTTAGAGACAGAATCCCAGGCAGGCTCCACACTGTCAGCACAGAGCCTGAGGCAGGGCTTGAACCCATGAACCATGAAGTTGGATGCTTAACCGACTGAGCCACCCAGGTGCCCCAAAACAGTGTTATATTCTCACACTAAAATTCTCAGAGTCATGCATTCTTACAACCACTTGTGAGTTCTAAAATATTGAATCTTTTTTTCATTACAGGTCTATAACAGAAAGCAAGTACCAAGAACTATGAATGTTTGGGGTACTACCATTTGAAATTTCTGTTCTAGGTCACATAATTCCCTTAAGCTAATTATGGAGAAAATCTCTGACATTTCATAGGAAGGAACTCATTTGCATATATGCATGAGAGGATAGGAGAAGCTTTATGTACTAATATTTTAATTATTCTTTGGATGTTTTATTTCTATAACCATTTTAATATATATCCCTTCTGTAGCAAAGAGCATATTGAATTTCTTCCAACAGTGACAATATCATTGGAATTTCTTTCACCAATGATTATAGTTCTTCAGTATCCTGAAACTCAATTATTTATTAATTTCTCAAGGAGAAGTATGCTTGCTACTTATTAACATCATAATAGGTAATTCCTCCTATTCAGATAGATTTATGGAGTAAATCTTAGATAAGAAAAAACAGAATACTTAATGGCCTGATTATATGCAAAGAACAAAATATATATCTATTTGATTGTGCTTATTTTCATAAGAATTCTGTTTCAGGGTACCTGGGTGGCTCAGTCACTTAAACGTCTGACTCCTGATTTCAGCTTGGGTCATGATCTCACAGTTTGTGAGACTGAGCCCTGCATCAGGCTCTGCGCTGACACCCTGGATCCTGCTTGGGATTCTCTCCCCCCCACCTCTCTCCCTCAAAATAAATAAACATAAAAAAAAATAATTCTGTTCCAAAATGGAATTTAAGTCCCCAAATACTCATAAGAAAACAAAATAAAATAGATCACCAATTAATGTAGCTATAATGTGTGCCACTGAGGTAACTTCCTCATATATCACTAGAATCAACCAGAATAAAGACACTCTTGCTAGACTCATACAAAGAGAAATAATTCAGCTTTTATATTCAAATATTATTCTTCCATATGTGGTTAATATACATATCAATGACAGGAACATCAGAAACTTTATTAAATAACTAAACTGGGTCAAGTATTAATTTAAAGGCATTACTTAATCCTCCAATAACCTTAGATCTAGAATCAAGTTTTTAAAAAAATATTAAACTAATTCCTCATAAAAGGATACCTTTCATTACTTTATTTCAGAATGTTGTTTTATATAACATATAACATATTTCTCTAGAGTTATGTTCTCAAGAGTATAGTAATTTTTATGATCTGGAAAAAGGTATGGGTTGGCATTGCTTTTGCTTTCTATTTTATTGAAGCAGTCAACTTGAACTGAAATTAATGCAAGAGAGAAATAAGCATAGTTCAATGGAAATTTCCATGCCCCACGGTCTGTGGTGTTCTTTGTAGAAATCTAGGGTGAAATGGCAGTGATTTCCATTCTAAAATTTTTTTCCAACACTCTTTTCAATGCCTTTGATAGTGCGTGCAAAGAGGTATTGCAGTCACTGGCAGCCACACTTGCCCAAATACTCACGATGATTGCACTTTACGTAGATTTGTATGTTGAGGATTTTACACACTGAGATAGTCAGGAATTCATGTCCACATTCTTCCAGTGCAAAAAAAAAATGTGCAAACCACATGCCAATTGATTATGTGTAATACCTCAACTTGGTCAGCACTGCTTTAAAAGAAAGATGAACTCAGGAGCATACTGGAAAAAGAGAAAGTGTGGCCTAGAAGAAAGGAATAAAAGAGAAAAATGGTAGATGGGCTAGATTTTTATCTTGGAGTCCTACAACAAATTTAGGTTGATTTTCTTATTACCTTCTCCATTTCCCCACACATGTGTCATACTCAGTCCATATTGTTTTCCAAATCATTTTATTTTTATTAATCTTTTACAACCAGTACAGTAATTAATTCCAGAAACAGGCTTTTTGGCTTCCTGACTTCACATTAGCAAAGATAGTCCTTTAGGACTGAAAGTAATGATCTCTGGCATGCCATGTGTACAGTTTTAATTTTAAATTAGTAAAATGTTTGGCAGAAATATTAGGGACAAGTGAGGGTGTACAATGAATGAGATAACAGTTCCATTTTTCCCACACACAAGTGAAACTACTTGCCGTGAGGGCAGGTAGGATGTGGCCATGCTTCCCTACCATGGTGAGGGAATTTCTCTCCCACAGTGCATCCTGGGAAGTGATCTTGTTTTATAAACCCTCCAAAGGCTTATGATTATGACAAGAGCCATGTTGGAAAAAAAAAGCAACTGACCATGCTGTAACCATAATGCTTTTCCTATTCCATGTCTATATACTGAAGATGACCCCTCTGTAACACGTGCATTTTCCCCATAGTGAGCTCCACTCAGCTGATGTGTCAACTTATGGTCTAAAATGCAAGTATGGGGCGCCTGGGTGGCGCAGTCGGTTAAGCGTCCGACTTCAGCCAGGTCACGATCTCGCGCTCCGTGAGTTCGAGCCCCGCATCAGGCTCTGGGCTGATGGCTCAGAACCTGGAGCCTGTTTCTGATTCTGTGTCTCCCTCTCTCTCGGCCCCTCCCCCGTTCATGCTCTGTCTCTCTCTGTCCCAAAAATAAATAAACGTTGAAAAAAAAAATAAAATAAAATGCAAGTATATCTGTTGGGTAAACTATGGCCCTAATTACAGAAGCATGAGGGATGAAACTGATTTGTGTTAACAGTTATTATGTTCACCCTTCTACAACCCTATGCCCTAGATTTTAATGTAATTTTTAATAAATAAGGACTCCCAAACTTGGACCTTTCCTGTTACTCCCATTAGAACTTTTAACGTATTAACCTTTAACCTTTCCCATTAACCTGTATTTTTTTAGAACATGGACCTTTAAAGTGAGCAATAAAATGGCTTTTTCTAGAATAATTCATGTGCTTTTTACTCATGAGAATATGCCATACAAATGTAGGGGATTGAAAGTTCCCCACATTTTTGGGGATGAATACTTGATTCAAAATGAGACTTTCTCATGAAGAATCAAAATGGAGGCTTTATTTCTCTTCCTTTCTGGAGGCCAAGAAGTAATAATTGTATTATATATTTTTCAAGTTTTTATTTAAATTCTAGTTAGTTAACATATAGTGTGATATTGGTTTCAGGAGTAGGTTCAGTGATTCATCATTTACATACAACATCCAGTGCTCAACACAAGTGCTCTCCTTAGAACTAACTCATCTCTCATTTAACCCATGCCCTGCTTACCTCCCCTCTATCAACCCTCAGTTTGTTCTCTATAGTTGGGAGGTTTGCTATCTTATGGTTTGCTTCCCTCTCTCTTTTTCTTTTTCCCTTCCCCTATGTTCATTCATCTGTTTTGTTTCTTAAATTCCACATATAAGTGAAATAATATGGTATTTGTCTTTCTCTGACTGACTTATGGAAATAATAATTTTAAAACATTGTGTTGTATTCAAAACAGAAGAGGATGATAGGTTGATTTAAGTAACTAAACACACTCAAGGACAGCAACAACAGAACAAGAGCAATCATTGTGCTCTTTTGTGATTAGAACAGAGATTATTTAGTATACCTCCTCCCTTCAAAGATCTGCATTTGAAAGTAATCATCAGTTTAGCCAAAATGATATTTTGCTCTTTTACTTGTATTACTGACATTTTAATAGTCTCCCCCCATTTCTCCTTTAGAAACTGTAATCTCAAAAGAATGATTTAAACACTGATGCATTTAGATAATACAATGTACATGATTGAGAAAATTTTAAATACTATAATTTAAGACACTTAATGCCACAGTTATTTTCATATTAGTTACACCCTCATGCTAGTATAATTCTAATCTAAATTTCTGGCTCGACATGTTTGATTCTGTGGGCATAATCTCAGGTGTCCAAAGCCTTAGGTACTTTTCCATTTCATTTTATTTTTAGCCTTTGTTTGATTTCAATAATGTAATTATTGAAACAATTAGGAAAAAAGCACAGTGAGCAAACTTTCAAAACCTAAAATTCTATGAATCTGTAAAAATCACCATGCCACTGACCAAATTTAGAAGCTATCAAATAAGCTTAAATCAGGTCATTTTGATCTAGAGTATTTTTATCCTCAGAGAAATAAAGAGGCAACTTTTCTGCCAATGAGCAGTTTTTAAAATATTTTTAAAGAGATTTTATTTTTAAGTAATCTGTGCATCCAACGTAGAGCTCAAACTCACAACCCCAAGATCAAGAGTTGCATACTCTACTGACTGAACCAGCCAGGTGCCTCTTTAAAAAAATGAATAAATAAGATTTTATTTTTAATTCATGCCATTAAGTAGTTTAAAAAAATGTAAAAACTCCTTTTTCACAGATTGATTATCCCCTTCCCATCTCACCTGTTGGTCACCTGTCACATTAGTGAGAGCATGCATACCTTCTCTTAGGAACACAGCAAAAGTTACAGCTTTTCCTCCCAGCACAGGTGAAGCAATGAAAGTGAGGAAATTTGGAAGCCTTGTAAAGATCAATGAGAAATAAACACGAAGTTACTTTGCAAAGTATAAATTACTATTTACATATAAATACGGCCATTCTTTGCCCCATTACTATTATTATTGGTGCCGTTACTGCTGCTACTACTACGACTATAGTTAATAATTGGATTTTACAAAGCCTGAAAGAATCTCAAAGATCCTATTCGTCCATGAGAGGAGGTGAACTGCCATCAGTTGATAATAGGCCTTGTCACAGAGATCCATATCTGAATTGTGGCTCAATATTCAACATCTATGTTATCTGAGCCAAAGTACCTTAATTATCTGTGCCTCAGTTTCCTTCTCTGTAAAGTGGGAATACAAATTGTATCTGACCTTCAATTAAAAAAAAATGTATCTGAGTAATTCCACTTCGGGTCATGATGGAGTAAATGGTACTAGACTTTTCTTCTGTGTAAATAACCAGATAAATATGTACAAATAACCTGTGTGTCTCTTTCCAGACATTAGGCTATACCCAGAGCCGACTGCCCTTAAAGAGAGGAAAAAACATGCTAAGACCTACAATTGTTTCAGCTTTCTGCCTGGATGTGTATTCCAGACTGTGGAGCAGGGAGAGAGAATTTATATAAGGGTGGCATTTTTGCTCAGTTGAGGAGTTAGCAAGCAGAAATCAGTGAAGCCTAAGCAGCTGGAATTTTTAGGGTGGAACTGTAAGGGGAGGAGGCAACACAAGAAAAGGCACTAAAATTTACAGAGGGGTTCCGTTGGTCTTTAACTATGGAACTGTCACATGTGATCAGACTCCATGAGGCCATCACAGAATAATTACTGGAACAGGACAACTTCTGGGAGCTATTTGCTGAAAGATCACCAAATGAAATTTTTAAAGGAGCTGAATATATTCGAGGTCTGACCAGCCAGAGCAGAGTATCTTACAGAACATTCAGTAGAGAATCTACTATACAGTTAAAACAAACAAACAAACAAACAAACAAACAAAAAAAAACCTTTAAGCAATTTAGTCTGTATTGGTTATCTTCATTGAGTCTTTCTTGTTCCTGTTTCATTTTCTAAACTTTGAGGTGAGGATGAGGGTAAATTTTACTAAAAGAGAGGTGGAGATGTGACCCTCTTCTTACAAAAGGAAAAAGGAATAAGAGAGAGATAAAAAAAATAAACATGAGACACATACACATGAATCCAAAGGAAAAGGGACAAATGTCATAAAAATAAGAGTTCTGAATCACTTTAATACTCATGACAAAAACTCTTACCTCTCAGTGCCATGACCTAATAATATTCTTCACCATGACCTCCATCAGCGCTGCTTTTTCTTGGGGGTAGAATACAGAGGGCTTCAATTCAGCTAGAGAGGCTGAAGTTTTCCATTAGTATCATGACCTGAACTCCAGTGATAGCAACATGGAAAAGGAAATAAATTGAGAGATGCTGCAGAGCGATAAATACAGGAGTTTCAGTGATTAAAATGAGAGAAAACGGTGGCACCATAAATAGGATATGGGCCATGTATATAATAGACAAGGATACAAAAAGTACACAATGCCTTGAACATACGGAGACAAGTCTAATTTTGTGTATACAGAATCAGGCTGGTGTATCACTGAGGTGAAGCTGTGCAGCTGATAACAGAACAAGGAGACATATTTTATATGAGCTGTGGAAATAAATATATAGATTTCAAAGTGATCTGTTTGGAGGTGACTATAGACTTTTAGAAAATAATTAAGGAAGAAGTTGACATTAAGGGAAAATAAGTTTAGATAAAATGTGAAGAAAATGGAAGATGAGCCAGCCAACATAGATGAAGGGTGAGAACACAGATGAAGTGAGAAGTGAGATTACCAGTGTTGAATGGGTAAATTAACTTGCTAGGGCTGTGTGATATTGCGATTATAGGAAGAAATATATGTTTACTTTTTGACATCCTTCCAGCACAGAGCTCCTAAAACCATTAGGATTTCCTAAGGAATGGAAACAATAAACATGTTTCTGTTGTCAATGAAGTGACTTTTGCAACAAACCTAAGGATGAGGGCTGGTTTCCAGGAGAGCCAACCTGTGATTATAGACTGTTGAAACTTTCAGTTCCACTCCACCCTTAAACAAACATACTGGGAAGAGAGGGGCTGGAGATTGAGTCCAGTCACTAACAGCTGATGATTTAATCAAGCATGCCTATATAATAAAACCTCCATAAGAACCTAAAAGGGTGGGATTTGGAGAGCTTCC